AGCCAACATCAATTTCCAGTGTGAACAGGTCCTGAAGGACCCGCATGACGATAAATCCATGTGGCCTAAATTCTGATATGACTGTTCACTGTGGTCACGTTGCAAAAAATCTGACTTGTATTTGATTTGGACCACATATAAAAACGTCACAAATCAGACTTGAAAAGATCAGATTCTGTGTGATTTATGCTGTTTGTACTGTGATGAAAATATTAATCATATATGAGCAAAAAAACTAAAACAGATTTGGGTCACTTTGGCCCGCTGTCTGAATGCGCCCTTTGTCCTGTTGTAGTAATACATGTTCAAAAATAGAAAAATAATGAATTGAGATCAAATAAATGGAAGACTGCACATTTAATTTATTAATGCATGCAAGAAGGACCAACAGTTGATCCCAGTTGCCTTCTTTATATAATAAAAACAATTTCAAATTCAGAAATGGGTGAATTATACACACAGGCGGTAAAGCAGTTGGTAGTCTCCCACCACTTGTTATTTCATCTGCCTTCATTGGATATTATTGTAGGCAGTAAATGAAGGCCAGTGAGGTGGTTTTATCACAATATCAGCAAAACCAAAAGTAGATAAACGATATGAAGCTTGCTTTTCATAAATCCCTTTGTCGGAACATTTTCTTTGTGTGCATATTCATAATTCATACATGAGGCTTGTGGGTGGATAGTTTATCCTTTTTTTTTTTTTTGAGAAATGAAGTCTTACCCTATAAAATTAAATAGATCTATAAACATAAATGTGAACTTAATGCCTCATCAGTCCTCAAGAGGAACGACTGTGACCGTCTTTGGTGACATTTGAAAGGCGAGAATATAAATTGTTAATTGATGTATGTGAACCTACATTGAGCTGTCAAATATCAGTAAAATACAGGCTTCATTAATAAATTATAATAAGTAACTAATAACGACTACAAATCTAAAAACCTTATTTGTGACTCTCTGAGGGAATATTGAAAAATACAGAGTAGGAAAATGAAGATAAAGAGAACGTAACCAACACCATTATTTATAAATTGCCTATTCTTTTGTCAACGTTACCTCATCAACATGAAGATTATTTTAGTCAGCGTACTTCTTTCAGTGTAATCCACACATGTTTATATTCATGTCCCCAGGAGAGCATCCAGAGCCAGCATATTTATCATATATCAGATATTATTACATATTTTTCACCTCTACATATTCTACTTTTGAATTCAGCTTCAGCTATCTCATTCAGCATATTGTCTGGCACATTAGATCATTTACTGATTGTGGTACAGTATATGTTTTTCTCAGGATAACAAAGTGAGATTACACTGCATTAAATTTGCATTCCATCTGTGTCTGTGAATCCTAACCAGGGTTCATTTGACTGCAGAGGGATGCTGGGAGATGGATTGTGGGGTCCTCTGGTGGAGAACAGATTTCATTGCAGGCATGGCTGTTACCAAATGAGTGAACCTGAGGATAGATTGTCACTAATCCACCAATCAGATTACAGCAGCTCTTTGCTATAGAGGGTTGCTTTAGTTAAGAGAAGAGAGGCCATTTAAAGTTCACTATGTGTTATTAATGGCATTTTTATTACAATGCCCTTTCTGCTGCAGTGACCAATCTTTTCTTCTATGTAATTGGACCTACTTTTAATAGAGAGTAAATGCTCTCTATACAGTATATTGAGAGGGTTGTTATCCCTTAAATGAGTAGGTGATCTGTTTTATGCTGTAGCAAACGGTTTCAGGTAGTCCTCAGAACTCTTTTTTGATATTTTCCATTTTGATATTTTTTATTTTACCTTTTTAAGATAATATGTTACTAAACGTTCCACGGTCAAAAGAGTCCCTAGGAAACTGTCATTATAGCATCACACACATTATTTAACACAGAAAGACAATGTCTGTGTTTGTTTATTACATTTCATTTTATTTATTTCTATTTTACAAACTCAGACGATAAAACTCAATAAACTGATAGCTATTTTACATAACATTTACATTAACAGTATCTCCTTTTTTAATCAAATTAGCCTATTTTAGCTAGTTAATGTTGGCTAACAAGCTACTGTAAGTGTAGATCCATGTTCTGTTGACGTAATTAGAATAAGCTTAGTATCATAGTATCATAACTTATAGAGAGGGACTGGAATAGCTGCTGGTTTGATATGTCTTTGTAACTGTTAACTTTTATATATTTTATTGACAATTATGAGAATATTCACTCAAACTCCAGTAACATTTAATACAATGTGAGAATTCTGGAATTCAAATAATTATTTTGACCAATATTATGAAGATACACGTGAATCTCTTAATAGAGAAGGAGAAGCTGAGTTTGAGAAAATATTGTTTGTGTCCATAGAGACGAGTACATCCCCTAGCTGCATTAGTGGAGTTGTTTTGTAAAGAGAAACCAGGAGAAATTGTCCACCACCTTGGAACAGCTCCACTGATGACGTGGGGAGGCAGAGAGAGTATTACGACTAAGTGTGTGCCAGAGTCGAGTAGAGCCCAGGCTTCATGTCAGTATTCATCATCTGGCAGCTTTAGTTCCCGTGATGATCAACACAATCTTTGCAGCTTTCTTCAAATCCGAGATCTCAAGCACAAACAACAATGCTTTCATATGCAGTGCTTTATATGCAGCTTTGAGGCAAAGTGCAAATGAATGGGAGGTATCTCCAAAAGACAAAATGAAAGGGAGGACAATATTCTTGAAATTGTGAAATTAAACTACTCTCAACATGTTTGCCCAGAAATCTTGACCCCTTGAAAATTGGAGTTATTAAAGGGAACAATATAGAACTACAATATCAGTTCCAAGTACATATTTGGAGCTTATTCATTATGATGTAGTAGTTTCCCTTGTGGGACACCATAATTACATTGAGGTTTCCATTTGTCAGCATAATAAGATGGTTTCTTAAAAGGTCTGATGATGTAAAAAATTCAGTCCAGTGACTAAGAAAAGCAGTACAAAAGCAGTACAGTTCAAATATAATGCTACATAAATATCATAGAAAACTATTGTTGACCCTGCTTATCCTGTATTCCGTCAGTTCCTTTAATCCTCAGAAGTCTTGCACAATCAGTTTCTGCTTGCCAGCACTATTCTGTTGTTGTATTATTTCATTACTGATTTAAATTGTTATAGAGGAAACAGATGATTTATTCAATAAAGGAAAAACTATCTTCAGTGCAGCTTCATTGCAATTCATGATTCTATTAAAAGGAGAAAACAGACAATATGCACAGCCCAGCACTCAGTCACAGGTGCTGCATAGGAAATAATTCCACTTTCAGGCTCTTCATCAGCCTGATACAAGGTGCAGAAATTATTGTAATCTACTTTCAATAATGTTGTAAGAACCACTTTGCATGCATGCTAAAATGAGTCTCGGGATTGGAACTTGGTTTAAAGGAGTTTATAACATAGTTGACAAAGCATGAGACATAATCATGAAGTGCTGTGCTGTGAGGTCACTACAGACTGCGAATGTTCTGGATACTTTGATGTTGGATTCTATCCACCAAAGGAACTGGAGAACTCTAACCTCAACCTTATACCATGACATTTTATAACAAACCATTTCCAGCTCCACAGACTCTCGCATGCTTTAACCACAGGTCTGGTATTTGAAATGAGGATTTTCTCAGTGTGCTAAAGGTCTGTACCACAATAACCACTGCCCAGTGGACTTTTAGATCACAATAATTGCGTCTCCCTGTACAATTAGGTGACCCTCGCATTCACCTTTCCTCTGGAATAGTGACAGTGATTTAACTGGTTGTTGTTAAAGGGCACCGCGCTCCGTCTCTTCAGGAATTTGTTCTGCTTGAAGACCACAGTTGATAATTTGCAAATGCGACTGATGAACCACAAACAAAATGAATCTGTTTTTATATAGGTTGTCTTTATGGGCCTATGGCTGCTCTTGTTTTGTACCTCGCACTTGGTGCTTGGTGTAAGTATTGAGCATTATGATCTACAATATGTCCTGATTACTAAAAGGAGAGCTTCACCAATTTTACACATGAAGATCAGTTTACAGGTACAGAGCCAGCTTGTGAAACCATTTACACTTCTCACAAAAAGTTAGGGATACTCCACTTTCGGGTGAAATTTATGGAAAATGTAAAAAGTTGATGCTACAGTGATATTATATCATGAAAGTAGGGCATTTAAGTAGAAGGTCAAATTAAGATCACCTGGAAAGGTTATAGTGCATTTTATGTACATTCTGAAATTTCATCCGAAAGCCGAATATCCCTAACTTTTTGTGAGTAGTGTATATAATGGCTAAGTCAGAGAAAATAACCCTGATCAGAGTTATTTGGGAGTTGACTCAACTCAGTTTTTACCGAAAAGCCTGCAGTGCAAACTGGTGTTTAAAAAGTAGATTACAATTTAATAGATTTACTAGGCATAGTCTAAAGCAGTGGCTCCCAACCATTTTCCTTAAGAGACCCCTTTTCTATCATTGAGTAAACTAAGTAAGTGACATATATTATGGATATTTCATATTATGTTAAATTCATAACAGTTCTTTCCTGTGAATATTGATCAGTGATGAGTTTTCCTGATATTTGTAGGAACTTTTATTACAATCCTCTACAACTGTTTATATCTTCAATACTAATCTAAACTTTAAAAATAATAATTTTATTTAGTTTTATTCACAGAAATAAACTAAATGCTGACCTATAGCCCTAATGTGTATATTTTTATAAAAATGTTTAATGTCTTACATGCCTTAAAATGAAGACATCCTTGCAATCCCCTGTGATGCTTTGGCGACCCCCAGGTTGGGAACCACTGGTCTAATGAAAGATGCTGTTGAGTTGCACTTATGTCTCTTGCAAGTCTCCCAAGTTAATGTAAGTGCAATACTAAAGCACTGGAGTAACTGTTTAAGTGATTTCGCTGAAGCATATTTCGTATTAGTTAAACAATGACATAATTACTTTATTTATTAAAAAAAGGAAACAGATACTAGGAGATACAAAAGTATGAATAATTGTGTTTTTTTTATTAATAAACAAATTGTAAAAATGAAACATCAAACAGAAAAGTAACATTGGTTAAAAAAAATTCTCCCTTGAAAATAGTAGTTGAGATTGGCCTTTTTTTTTAGCTTGTAGCACAAAGAAAGATGGAGCAATCCAATATTTATTAACACATTTTAATATTTGTGGACCATACTCCCTTCTTTTTTAAATCAATAACAGTTGGGAACACCTAAAACCACAGAGCCACCAAGACACCACATAGTAATTGAACTGAATTAAGTGAAAGTTCTGCACTGTAATCTGTAGTAATGTTGTGATGCCAGGTATTGGATGAATTCCACATATTGTAAACATGAAATTGTGTCATATGTTTTTTTCTCTGAGATACATGTAATGCAAAAGTAAATCCCAGAACATGTTCCAGAGCACATTTCCCCACCACTTTATTATAAACATTGTGGAGGTGTGTTACCTCTGCAAAGTGGATAGATTTAGTGCTTCCTCTCTTCCCAGTGGAATTAACAACACCATGTTAAATCCTTGGTAAAGCCTTCTAATCCGTAATCCCACTGGCCTTTCATTGGCCCCTTTTAGTCTCTGTGTAAGGACTGTCCAACAACACACAGGTCCGGCTGTGATGCAGAGCGTGCTGTAGCTCTGAGGTCTGATTGGCTACCCCATAATTCATCATCCCTGGTTGGTTCATCATCCAGCCTGTAAGAATGAATGGAGAATGTTGTCAGTAGCAATTAAGGAAGTGGGTCAGGTGGGTTTGTGTCAGATATGAACAGGAATGATGCGATTAGCTCGTAAAGTGACCGATGTAAGAGTTCATGCAAGGCCAGGTGCAAAACCCCCTAAAATTAGACATTCACTTTTTTTATTACATTTTTTGGAGCGTTACTAGAGACCATTGTGACAAGCAGTCCATGATAAATTAAAAATTAATGTAGCTTTCAACACAGAAATGGCAAGATAAATGCATAATAGAGAGAATTAAATGCAGGGGGATTTAAATGAGTGGCTTTATATCTTTTATACTATATGTGATTTAGTCTCTAGCTGATGTCTCTATAATTCAAAATATTCTCTTTTATTCTTGATGTACTCTCAGTACATCTCTTGAGCATGTCATCATTATGTCTAAATTGGGCTAATAAATCACTGAATGATAATCTAATAATGTGGTATAACAGCATTCTCAAATAAGTCTGATACTTAAACTTAAAAAAATATTTGTATTTGAGGCAACTACATCTGCAGTCTTCAGTCTTGTCTAAGTTAAATTACAGTACATTGGTAATCATGTTTGTGCTATGATATTGTGGCTTTGCTGCATTTTCTGTCACATTCAAGTTAACTGACTTTCATTCAAAATTTTCCAAATAATTTCCTAGAAATTAGCTGGATATTTCCTGGATCTGGTTGGTGTAATATAGCACTACATAGTACAGTTGGTAGGTAAATGCTCATTATTGTTTAAAAAATAAAACCTATATGCAGTTTGACAAACAAAACTTAAAGGTTTCTAGTGTGGTTGAAATTGTAAACATAAATTTCAAATTAAAATGTCATAAACTTACAATTGAATTAATTTTTTTTGCATATTAACTGCTTCTTATAAACTAAAACAACTTTGTAATTTGATGAGTTAATACTTACTAACTAAACTAAAGACATTCTCCACTTTCCTTATAATTAGTACCATGTTACTTATTGCAGGAATTTAAGTACCTTTAAGATAAGCCATTACCAAAGATTGAATGAAAAGCCATATTTAGGGATTCATGACGCGTAACATAGAAATATTGTAAACACTCACCCCTGTGAATATATTGCTGGCTCACTCCCACAAGTCTCAGCCACAGAGATGCCTGGAGATCTTGGTGGCAGACTTAGACTTGGCCTTCGGTCTGAATAGCTACGTCGGATGAAGGGTCGAGGTCCTTGAACAGATACAGGAAACCTCCCACGACTACCCCAAGAACGTGAGAGAAAGGAGACCCCGGTAGAGGTCCATGCTTGAGGGGGTCTGGGAACTGGACAAGGCTTGGCCTCAAACAGGGATGGAGAGGCAGGGCAGAAGACTGAACGTGCATTACTGATCAAACGAGCACTAGATAAGTCTTCACTGCTGTTCTCCCTTGACCATCTTTGTACTTTTGGTGAGGCTGGTGGAGACGGTGCTTTAAAAGGGTAGGAGTTGGGTGAGTTTGAGTTTAAAATGTTCTGCTTTGCAACAGGTGGACTGGGGAGCCTCCTCTGAACTGCTGGTGGTGTGGTGAGTTTCCTGTTAGCAGGGGGGCTAGCTGAAGAGGTTGGAGTAGATTGTCTTTTGAAGCTGCGGGGACTGGGAAGTCTTCGATGCAGACTGCTTGATGTAGAAGGGGTGGATGGTAACATTCGCCCCCTAGACATGGGTGGGGTGGCAGGTGGTTGACTACTGACTACTGAAGAAAGAGGCACTGTAGACACTGTAGTGTTAGGTCCAGGCACTGAAAGATTACCACCATCATTTATGTCTGCTGATTCTTCTTGATTGGCTGATGGATTTGTTGCTACACCAGTTGTTGACAGTTTCTCTGAGTCTGAAGAGTGTCTTAGGTGTATTATCTTTCTGGCTTGCTGGTACAAGGAATTCTTTTCATCTCCTGGGTCTACCTCCAGTTGAACATCTGATGGGCTGACCTTTAACGGAGCAGATGGGTCCTTTTGTTCTGTTCTAGCAAAGGAAACAACCTTGGAAGCTTGTGGCAGGCCTCCTTTACTTGGAAGCACTGTCACTGACTGAACTGAGGCCCTCAGTCGTTGTGATACTGCAGCCCTTTTTAATACAGGGGATTTTTTAACTTTTGTAGCCCCTTCATCTGCTACACCAGTTGAAAGATTCTGGGCACTTTCAAAGGAATTGTCCATTAACACTTCCAGTGGAGGCGGAGGAAGACTATCCAGATCAAAATATTCGTTTTTCTCAGATGAAGAGGATTCATGTCTACAACTGGTTATCCCAGTGCTGAGCACAGCTTCTACATTTCCTAAACCAGGTAACACAGGAACACCACACTTCCGTACTCCTTTGAGAGGCCCCAGAACTTCAGGACCGTCTAGTTCCACTATTCCTTGACTGAAGGTATCTATCAGTTTTTTGACTGAGTTCCGCCCTCTGTAAAGACTAGATGATGGTCGAGGTGATAAAGGAGGGCTAGGGGGTGGGGTGGCTTTTATAGGACCCTTGGATGTTTTCTTGTCCTTTGATTTATCTTCTTCGACATCACTGGTTACCTCTGTTTTTTTATTGTTGCGTTTTGTGAGGCCTGCTTTATCCTTAAGTGGTTGGGGATTGCTGTTTTTCTCTAGTAAGGGATGTTTACGATTGATTGCCGGTGATTGAGCTGGAGAGGTTCCTTGACTTTGTTTAGGTTGAGCAGTCATCATGTTTCCACCTGCCTTGTTTTTACTCATCCTCTGCATCTTCTGGTTTAAATCCTTCTGGGTTCTATCTAGTTCAAGCAGGGTAGGATCTTCACCTTTGCTCCGGATGGATTCCGCTGACTGGGAACGTCGCTCCCTAGCCACTGGCGTCTTTTTTACCACAGCCTTCCGAATAGGTGCTGCTGTTTGAGGCCTCCTTGGAGATCGTTCCTCCTCGTCCATCCACTGGCGTCTACTGGTTTTTGGGCTGCCAACTACCTTTGTTTTGGCACTAGAGTTCTGTGATGGAACAAACTGTATCCTACCACTTATTGCATTTTTCATTTTGAGAGTCATTTCTACATTTTGAGGATTCTCTATGCGTTTTGGGGGTAGGCGGCGTGGGTATTGTTTCCCACAGTGTACAGGTGAAGAATTTGATTGCTTTATTAACCCTACTTGCACAGCTCCCATACCTCTATCAATCTCATCATCATCATCATCATTATCTTCTTCCTCCCCATCATCTAAGGAGACTGATCCAAGCAATGAGTCTCTTTGGTCATTAGCCATTATGGTACATATAGAACCTAATGAGTTGAGTGAGGTAAGAGAAACACTTGGACTTATTTTTCTTGCAAGCTTTTGCCTTGACACTCCTTGCCTAATGCTCATGGGGGTGTATCCCATAGGACTGCCAGGAGTAGTTCTATTTGTCCCAGTAGACTCAGAACTCGCTCGTCTACGCCGCCTTTCAGATCCAGCTAGGGATTCATTCTCTGCCCCAATACCACTGTCTTCACTAAAGAGAGCAGAATCCTCTGGCCCAGGCTTGCGCAGAGAGGCCATTTCAATGCGAGATAAGAGTTGCATTAGCCTAGTCTCTACTGCACGTTTGACTTTTAGTTTCTCCTCTAAAAGTTCTGAGACAGAGGCAAAGTACTCCACTGCCTCTTCCAAAGCAGAGTCCCCAATTCCACCAACAGTCTGGCTTACATTTCGCATTCTCTGTGTGGTGTACTGAAGCAGCTGCTGCAGCAGATCCGGTGGGGGCTCAATATTAGCAGAGCCAGACTTCAGAGGTGGAGAAGATGAGAGGTTTTTCATTTGACTTGGCCAAGCAAGATGTTCTCCATTTTCTTTTAAAACTTTTTCTCCCTCGTCTGCCATCTCTTCCAGTCCCTGAATTATTTCCTCATAGCGTAGAGCCATGAAAGCAACCATAGGCTGCACAGAAACCTGTGTATGGGTTGCTTGTTCCAAAAGTCCTAGTAAAACGTCATATTTATTTATGCTAGGATTCAAAAAGGCATAAGCAGCTTGGTGAGCTTTTACCAAAGGTTCTGGGAAGTCCACTTTCTGTTCTGTAGGTGGTTTGTCTTTATCCTTGTCTTTCTTTTTGGGCACCTTAATACCTCTGGTATTTTTCTTTGGTTTTCTGCCAGGCTTTTTTTCTGTCACATCTTGCTTGTCAACATTTTTCTCTTTTCTCTGTGAAACTGTATTGTTGTCCATTCCTTGACCTCCCAATTTGTCCATGTTTACTGCTTCAGGTGCTAGCTCAGTCACAGATCTCTTTTTCTGTGGTGTCATATGAGCCTCTTTCTGAAATACCTGGGTTTGTCCGGCTGCCTTCCTCTCCTTTGTATCCCCATCTGTTGATACAGCTGAATTATGATTCTCTCCATTTTCAAAGTGGGACTCTCTGGGGTCTTCTTGAGGTGCAGGGGGCAGCATTCTCCCCTTCCTCATGGGACCCAAAGCCCCAAAATTGTTACCTTTGGATGGTGAGCAGCCCATTTCTGATGTTTTTAAATAGACGTTTCTGTCTTCGTGGAGACACCAACACAGCAGTGCAGAGAAATATACAAAGAATAGCCAAAGTCCTTAGCCACCTGCTGTATCTGTCATTATCAGGTGGCTGCAGTTGTTGAGTCTGATAAGATCCTTTTCCACAAGGATGCTACCAAAACAAAATATTGATAAATCCATTTTACAAATTTCTCCCACCTGTCATAGATGGGCAAAATAAATCCACAGATCAATGCTCATGTTTTCAAAAATGTCCTTGTAGCGTGCTCTGAAACACATCCCTCTGTACCTTACAAAGGACAAGCAGCTGAAAGGATTAGTGAGGCTTTCAGTGAACTCCTCAGCATGCACATATGTCACGTTAAAGCATATAAAACTCACCTACTGGTAAGACCTTAAGCTCATTTGGGTAATGCAGGCTGGCCTCAGGTGGCTTTTTATAGCCTGCAAAACAATATCTCCCTATTCAGCCCTACGGCCATTTCCATACAAAAAAAAAAAACAACTAAATTTGAAGAAAGTGAAAGTGTTTCTTTTGAGTTGCATTACAGTTGCAGTTATATGCAGATATCATGCACAAATAGTTTCTACCGACTTATATTCTGTCAACAGGAATATGATATAGAAAAATTGTAATTGTGCATTTGACATGATATCTTAAAACAGACTTAAATATTTTTGTCAAGCAGTTATTCTGGTTAATTGCTGATCTTCATTTAACTTCTATATCTAGAATCAGTTCACTGGAACAGTGAGGTAAGCTTTAAAATAACTGGAACTCTGCCTCTCTGTCAACACTGAAATAAAAAAAGAAAAGATTATACTAATCTTTCCTCTTTCGCTTTTCTTTTTAAATCTGTCAAAAATGAAAACATTATCAAAACAGATAAATATATTTAGGATGTAGGTTGAGCAGAGCCTACATGTGATAAAGGCTTTTGATAAAGATATAATTGGTCATTTTTTCCCATAAGTTGCTATAGTTGATTTTGGACATGTTAACCAAATGAATTTGTTTGTGGAAACTTTTAAAATCCCCTCTTTTGGTTAGTCTTTAAAAACATATTTCTGGTTATGCCCTGTGCATTTAGTAAAAATTAATCTTTTCCCCCTATCCATGCCCTACGTAACTTGTTTGCCTCAAGATGTTCTTGTAGTCGGCATTTAATTATTGTTTTGCAAAAATAATAAAAAAGAACCAGTTTGTTTAAGCCCCTATTTTCACAAATTACAGCTAACTATTCTCAGTCGGTATTCAGATCAAATATTCTAAATCCGTTGGACTGTCTGGCTTCTTCCATGCAATACCACATGCTTATAAGTTAGGACAGGGCCTACTGAAAATAAGATAAATTAATCAAATCAGATGTTTGTTTATTTATTGCAAATGACACAACAATGTAAATCAAACATAACATGTTTGATCTTGGACCGTAAAAATGAACAACTTTTTAAAGTAGGCCTAATAAGAGTTGGGAAAGTAAAGATGGACTAAACTTGTGACACTGATGATTTTTGAGTGTGAATTTTCTATTAGGCTACTTTAATTATGGTAATACTAGACTACTAAATCTAATTGGGTCTCAGCGGCTCAACAACCATTTGCTCAGTAGCCTATTACATTTTTAATTTAATTAAAATTCTGACATTATTTATTTAATTTTTTGTATTAACTACCATTGTGGGAAAGAGAGAGTGTGATTCCAATAACGGTTAACTTGAATACAAACTGTTTTCATACAATGTCTTTATCTGAATGTGTCTTTATCAAACCCAGATAATGTTAAATATTTTACACTTTACATACAGACAGGAGGGGGAGGGGGGGGACATTGCTGAAGAAGAACGTCTTCTTGGTCTGCGCGTCCCCGCGTGCAGGTGTACTGCTGAGCGATTGGCGCCGATCCTGACGCGCGTTCCCGAGCTACCGTCTTCTCTGGTCAGTCCCTTGTAACGACTGCTGACTGTCTTATTCTCAGTTTTAGCCTTTTAAAATCGGTAATTATTAGCGTTCTCTGTCGTTGTTGAGGACATTTTCACTTTAGCTTTTTGAGCATTATGTTCTGTCCGGCTGTGGCACTGATACAGCTCTTTGTAACGACTTTAAATCTGTCAACTTTTGATCGGTTTTCTAGGTAACGTTACTTGCTCAACTCCAGTTCATTCACTGATATCAAAAAGGGACGTCCTCGGAGGTGAGGACGTTAAAGTTAAACTTAACTTCAACGGCAGCCACTGTCGTTTATATAACAGTTAACTTTAATCTAACTTTAGATTTTTTTTTTGTTTATCAAGCCATAGCTAACGTAGTTTGTTAAAGTTCTACAAGCTGGAAGCTGTCAGCTGTTTTGCCAGGTGGCTGACAGCTAGCTTAGCATCCAGTCATCATTAAGCTTTCAGCTAATGGGTGGAAGTCAGGTTAAACGTAATGATGTAAAACAAACAATATGAAGGAACCTTCCTGAAGTACTTCATGTTATTTGTACATTTTCACCCTCATACCTCTCTATTTCCTCTCAGAGCACACTACAGATGCCCTAAACTGCAGCATGATGAAGCATACACACCGGTGGTGTCAGACCCCCCCTTCAGTGACTGTCCGGGTCAGACCCAACAGTTCACACTCCCTCCAGATCAGGAGAGGCCTCCGGCTCAAAAGAGCCAGCGGCCCAGACGCCCAGGGCCCTGCAGGGAAAAGCCAGCCGAGCCAACGCCGGGAGGAGATGTATTATGCCAAAATGACCATTCCCCCAACCATTGTCATCCAGCGGCAAGAAATGGCGTCATTCTTTAGGCTTTTTGGTGAATGAATAGCCCCAATAAAAAAAAACCATCAAAGTGATGAATCTTACTTTTGAAAATGAGGATCTATTTGATATAAAATAATGATGTTTGGTTGCAGATGATGACCTGATCCAGGACTTCTTGTGGATGGACTGTTGCTGTAAAATGACTGACAAGGTAAATTGTTGTTGTAAATATTTAGGGGAAATTAAGCCTGTCTGAAGCCTTATGATGCTTCTCACCCCAACTTTTCTCTCCAATTCATCAGTACCTCCTAGCCATGACCTTTGTGTACTTCAAAAGAGCCAGCTTCACTATTGCTGAATACACCAGGAAGAATTTATTCATTGCACTGTAAGTTTCAAACTTTCTTTTGAATCTTGTTTTTCCTCATATAACATGAAGGTTGTGTGCCACAAGCCCTAAATTTGCAACATCTCTAGGTATCTTGCCAACACCATGGAGGAAGATGAGGAGGAGAGCAAGTATGAGATTTTTCCATGGGCACTGGGCAAGAACTGGAGGAAGCAGTTTCCGCGCTTCCTCAAGCAGCGAGACAAGCTGTGGGCTCGCATTGAGTACAGAGCTGCTGTCAGCAGGCGCTGTTGCGAAGAGGTACACACAACTGTGCCTCAGGAGACATAGATAAATTGTGTTTCTCATGTTTTTGTTGCACAGTGTATTGTAACCATTGCTTCGGTTTCATGCTAGAAGTTCCATCTTTGTTGTGTTTTTTCTGTGTCTGCCTATCTCTGTCCCTCCAGGTGATGGCCATTGTGCCCTCTCACTTTGTGTGGCAGCGAGAGCGGTCAGAGCACCACAGCGGCGCCCAGCGGCAGTACGGCGACCAAGACCATGCTCGTTTTCCCCGCGGGCCCTTGGCCTCCCCGGTCTCCTGCGCCCTCTGTAACCACGGCACCAGGTTAGATCAGGGCCCAGGCTCCTCTTACCCCTCCAGAGGCTCTTCTGCACAGAACCCTGCCTTTCCACACCCATTCACCCCCACACTGAGCTTGGTGACCACCCCACCTAGGGCCGCAGCCTCTCGCAGGAAGGCGGTGGAGACTAAAATCCAGGCACAGCATTCTTCCTGCTGCTGCGTTGAGGAGGTTCCCAGTAGGTATCACTAATACAGGTGTGCTGGCTAAATCTCATTTTTAAATCGGTGTCAAATCTGGACATACTCACATCCTGATACAGCCCCAGTTATGACCTCAGCATCATGTACCGTAAACCGTGATTCGGTCACACAGCGTCCTCTACACAAACCTTAGGAGAAAGGATTTTAAAGGAAAAACAACACATAGACACAGTCCATTGATAAATTGGATTTAAATGTTGGTTTTCCTCCAGGCAGACAGAAGACACCTGTGGGATCACAAAAAAGGTTTGCGTAGGAAAATAAATAATGTACTGTTAAAGAACTAGTGTGTAGGATTTAGTGGCAGATTACAGTCCCCTCGCCTCACCCTCCCCTTCCAGGCATGTAGGAGAAATTACGGTGGCCACGAAACTCACAGAAAATTGCCCTATGTAAAGCCAGTGTTTGGTTTGTCTGTTCTGGGCTACCGTAGAAATGGCATTTCAATATGGCAGACTGCGTAGAAGTCAGTCCCTCCAGAAAAACGCGATTATGCGATCGCATAATTCAATGCATAATCAGCCTAAGTCCACATATTTAAGCGGGGGCCGCATTTTTTTCAGATAGGCCGCATAAATTGCCGGGCTTGGGCTTGCATGATTTCATAATCCCATGCATTTTTCACATATAACTTCGCAGAAAGTTGAAAAATGTTGCCTTTACTTCACACAAGAGCAGCCATTTTCCCCTGTTGTAGTATTAGTAGTATGTAAGTTTACGTTCCAGTAAGAGATTGCACTTTGTGCATTGGAAGCACTTATTTTAACAGAAGATGTCAGTTTTGTATAGCTACCTCTGTAAAACAGGGAGCACACATTTTATTTTTTTATTTATTCATATTTACAGAAGTTGTAGCATATTCCTTTTGTAAACTACAGAACTTGTTTGACTCATGTGTTTATTAAGGTCTGAAATAAAACAAGATGAGAACTTAAATATTCCCAGCACTTTCTGTGATGTAGTATGCTTGCTTATCATAGGAAGTAATAAGAAATGACTCTTTACATTAAGGTAGTAGCCTAGTGAGAACAGGGTGTTGGGGGAATCACTTTTTTTTCTCTTTTTGATCAAACCGCAGTTTTTGGAAGTTCCCGCAATTTTTGCAAGTTCCCGCATATTCCATCACATTTTTTAAGAAAACGTGCCGCATAATCTAGGATTTTTGCCTGAAAGAATCAGAAAAAACTGCATTTTTCTGGAAGGACTGAGAAGTCACTACACTAATGAAAACATACCTCGGCTATAGAATAGATCCTCCTAAATGTTACACACTGGACCTTTTAGTGCACAGAACTGTACAGAGTGCTGAGGCCACAAACGGGCCCCATCTGATGATTGTGAAATCATATCAGTGATCGTACATTAACAGTTAGCTCCTAACCCCTTGTATTATAGAAGGCTATGGCTGCCTTAAGAGGCTCTGCAAGTTGCTCCGATGATTGATATTTCTTTTTTATTATTCATGGTGCATGTGTTGTTGCCACACACTTACATACAACAGGCCTAATAGCTGGGTGAAAAGATGACAGTGGCAGTCACTGTTGATGCAGTATGCATATTCAATAAATCCCTGCTGGATTTTAGGTTTAATGTGAAATATAAGCAGCCTGGAACTGCGGCTACATTAATCAAAGCTCACTTTCACTGACTTTGTGGATTGTGTGTAGAGGTGCTTTAGCTGGATTACACCTGGAAGGTTTTCCACAAAGCAGGATTAGAAAGTGGAAAGTGGAAAAGATGGTGCTGTATCCCAGTGATACCCACTTCAGTTTGAAAAGAAGCTTGAATATTAGGTTTAAGAGTAGGATTTATTTTATCACATTGCAGACTCCTAGTAATACAATTTCATGAGATATTGTGTATGACTTTTCAAAGCCAGTGTCCTCTGGAGCACATCTGTGTACTCAGTAGAAACACTGAAATGAAGCTTTTTGTCCTCCCCATTTTTCTCTCTCTAGCAAGTTTCTCGCAGTGTTTTTATAGACTTGTACACAATAAAACATTACACTTTAAGGGAAAAGAGCAGAGGTGCTATTTCACACAGAAAAAGGCTTTTCCTAGGGGAAACCCTGCACTGTAAAGCTTCAGTAATTTCCTTCTAAGTTTGAAACTACCCTGACAGAATTGGACAGAAACAGCATAGCTCACTTGTGCTAAACTACATTTTCCTCTCTTCCCTCTTTGTTAGGGGGTGAGTGTTCCCGTGCGTCCACATACGACACCTCCATGGACTGGATCAGTGAGGAGTAGAGCGTCACACCCTCTTTGTACTGACCCGGCTGCTGTCTCCTCTTTGATACCACTGTAACTCTGAACGTGTAACTCACTAGTTTGCGTGTACTTCCTCTCATGTGAACATGGTGCTGACCCAGCATTAACTGGTCAGGACCAAGTGAACCATTTAAGTGACTGTAAGTAGCTGCAGCATATGAGCTAATCCATGCAGTAAGATTTATGTGGCACACAAAGTGTTGTAATGGGTTGTTTAACTTGCACTGAGTTGTTGATATTTATTTATTTATTTATTCATCTATTTATGTTATTTATGTACTGAAGCACTTGTTTGATGACCACTTCTTCACAGAAAATATGGAAATGAATCAAAGGTTATGATGTTAACATGTCTTTCACATACTGGGTGTGTTTTTAGTATTGTTGCCAGTGTGCCTGTGTCATGAGCCAACACTGCCTCCTGAGTTTTGAATAAAGACTTCAACTTTGTCTTCTTGAGATTCTTTATGGCCAGCTGCTGTTATGCACCTAACTTTGATTGTAGGAGTGGAGAAGGTACATCTTTGTGCCTCAGGCCTTGCAGTCTGCCTTTGTTTTGCTTCTATATATTTCACTTAACATGCAGGCAATTACTGTATATATTCACAACTGATCCCTAGTCACAGAGCCAATTTCTATACATTTACTGAAAAACAATGATATATCATGTTGTGAGGGATTTGGGGCTTGGCATTTAAGACTTTTTATTAATATACATACAAAAAATAAACCAAAATTAACATTTAGAACTCATTTATTTTTCACAGTATATACAATAATGAGATCATTTGGTTGATACTGTATATAACAATCATCATTCAATCATTTTCAAGGTTCCTTACAGGAAGGGCAGCTACCGTACACACTTCCTCAGTTTCACCAGGAATGCTAGAAAAGGAGAAGCAGACAATGAGTATTTATTGTAACATCGTTTACAGACCTCTACACTGGGAGTACAACTGCAGTAATATCTGACCTGTGTGCCTTATCTGTTCCGGATGAGGTCTGGCAATGTAGGGAACACTCCCAAAGGCCGCCTGTCTCCCTGTGCTCATCTCTTCTGAAATATAACGGTACAACTTCAACTGAAGGCAATGCTCAGAAACATTTATCACAAATAAATACGAGCACGGTGGTCCAATCACCTTCGTCCGATGTTTCATCCTGCGCCCCCTGGTCTTCGTCAAAGATCGGGACTTTCCTGATGCAGAACCTCCCGTTTTTCTGGATTGCTGGAGCTACCAACCAATGTCGGACTGGAACCTCCACGATGCGTTCACACAGCACAGGGAGCGCCAAACATCGAAGCCCTTCCAGCAGGTCGATGACCTGTGTTATACTGTGTGACAGAGGGACAGTCAGAGGGCAGTAAAGTCTGCTGCAACATTACAGCCCAGTTTCAAATATATTACACACACACACACACACACACACACACACACACACCACTGCCCCCTTTCAAAAGTTATTTCCCAGTCTGTCATTGTGCCTCAGAGCAGCCAATAGGAACACACACTCTCTGAAATGACCTGTGATTGGCCAAAGTCTCCCGTCACAGGCTAGATTTTCTAAAGCCTGAAAACCAAACCGGGGGGGGTATTTCTTGACCGGGAGCAGTAACTTCCTGGATTCTTTTGTTGTCACTATGAGGGACGTTACATTTAGTCAGTGAAATTTAGAAACCATCTCCTGTCTATAGCTTCACAGTGAGATATGAGAGCGAGAGAGTTAAGGTGACAGTTTCACAGCAGAGGTACACACTTGGCGAGGTAGATGGCACATACAGCTCCAGAGTGCAGATGTGGAATCACAGTGGTTAAAGCCAGGTGGGGGTGACTCATGTCAAGGGCAACCTGCAACAGACACAATCCATCCAATGAATGAGCAGGCGTCACAGAATCAAATTCCCACGGCCTTGATACACGTGACCAGCTGTTGCTGTATTATTGCATAGTTTAAACACTGTGTCGGTCTCTGTTTACAAATGGCTCTGTGTTTAAGCCAGACACTGACCGCGTGGAATCCCCGACCGGCGAGGAGCGAGGAAGCGTTGCAGAGGTCGGAGTTGTGAAACTGGACGTTGTCGTGCCACTCCTCCCCTCGTCGCAGACTCCATGACGCCCTCCAGAGTCTGTAGTTCAGTACGGCTTGTTTGTGGTGGTCCTCCCTGATCTCCAAACTCAGCACGCTGCCTTTAGAGCCCACTGGGAAAAACCAACATGTTTTTGTGATATTAGGTGAGCAGAAAAGAGGAAAGTGAGAAAACTTCACCTCCGCCACTGTCATCACAGATACAGTATCTGTTCTTTCAATGCAGCATGGAAATTATTTTAACGCTTTTTAAAGGGGATTGTCAGTTATTTTTCGGTGTACAGGTTCTGACTGAAATTTGATCCATGCGCTGTAAACCTGATCGTTTTTAATTGATCATGTAATGTGTGTTTTGTGCTCATTTAATTTCTGAGTGCATGTTTTTTTTTTTTTTTTCATAAAGCCAACAGCTCATTGACTAAAAGAAACTGTCTAAGAATAACTATTCTGTTCACAGGTTTGACAATCTTCACTGTTAATCTGCTATCTACAGTCTAATAACCACATGTTATCAGATGGGGAACCCTCAGGCTACATCTTATCTAATACAGGTCTGTTGCCTTAATGGAAGAACTCCAAAGTGAGACAGCGTGATGGGTGCAGACCTGCTCTGGACAGGAACAGAGACATGGCCCCGGACCCCGAGCCTGAATCCAACACGCAGTCTCCCTCTGTGACGTCCATCATCATCAGCATGGTACTTGCATCCTGGTAACAGAGAGAAACAAACACACAATATCTGTGAGTAGAACTACAGGTCAATCCAGGACTATGACACACAAACAAACACGGTACCTTAGGGTAGGTGATGGCTGGCCCTCTCTTCATGAACAGCACGTAATCCTCCAGACTGGCCCGACGTATGAAGATGGGAACCCCCATGTGTGTCTTCAGGAAGCAGCCTGCGGGGTGCCCGGCTATGTAATCATGCGGGATGAACCCCCTGTTGCCATGCAGACGTGCCCCCCTCTGAAGCTTGAACAACTTCCTGTACTCCACCTGCCTGTTATTACAATACTCAGCGACAAGCAGCTCCCCAAACACGAGCAGGGTCTCCCCAGGAAGAGTGGGTGGCGATATCAACCGTTTTTCCTCGTGATATGCTCCGTTCAATACGGTTTCTGAAGTGTCCGGCTCCACAGCTGCCTCTGATGCATGATGGGTCTCTGAGTCATTCTTTTTAGGGATTGCCGTGTGCCCACTTTCCTCCACCTGGGTGCTTGTGTCATCTGCAGGGTCTTGCAGGTTCTGCTCCCTCAGCTGCATCACCTCAGGGGTCAGGGCATCCTGGGGCAGCAGGCCACTGATCCTCTCCAGGGGGGACAGGGGTCGCCTCTTTCTGGACAGCAGCGCTTGCCTGGGAGTCAGTCTGGTGCTCGAGGGTGAAGAGTCTGCGTTGTCTCCCTCATTCTCGTTACATTTAATCGAACTGGCTGCAAAAGTTCTTACGTCCCTCCTATATTTAAGGAGTTTTACAAGTATGCCCCTGTTACTGAGATGTCTTTGACTGGATGATCTGATCCTCATCAGTCTGTGCATAAACACAAGTCCAGCCAAGGGCATTTGCATAGCCATTATATCAGATTATGACACAATATATGAACTGAAAGTAGAGGCTATGTCCTGAGAATCCAGTTCATCAAGCAGTGAATGCTAACCAGCAGGAACCTGAGAAAATGACAGCCGCAGTTGTTGAACACAGTATGAATATCTGCGAAATAAAGCACTCAAATGTGAACAGAGCAGCAGACCTGGTTCCACTTGTTTACAGTCTAACAACTGGCGGTTCGATCCTGTTCGCAGGTCACCATGCTGGCTGGAAAGACACACGTGAATGACGTCATAGCTGAGCGACCGGTGTAGTAATTCAGGTCTACCAGCAGAGGGCGATATCATAATGACACATTTTCTTCTATTTAGCTTTTATGTCAAGCTCAAATAGGCAGCACGCTGTAGATTCAGCAGGCCTGCAGTGGGAGTGTGTCTTTGGTCTTATATTTTATTTGTTATACAGGAACAACACAGAACAACAAAGTGAGATTATTTCATAAAGTACTCTTAATGAGGGTCAGTGCCCAATTAAGAAGCTTCATAGCACACTAGATATTTCAAAGTGGGAAGCATACTATCTATTGTGGATAATATTTCAATATATTTGTGTCTTCCCTTTGCGGAAATTGTGACTTCATCAAATATACAAATGCAGCATGGTTTGGGTTATGTAAAAAGCAAATATGAAGTGAATTTGGCATCAAAATCACCCAATATAGTTGTTGGGTTCCCTGTTTTATTCTACATATGAATTTAATAGAGAACTTTATTTGTTGTTGCTGCGTTCAAGTTCTCTTAAAAGTCGTAATTATATTTTGGAATCCACATTTACAACCCAGTGGGAGTGTTGGAGAGACAACCACCTATTAAGGTTACTTGTGTTATTTATTTGTAGCTGTAAAACAAATGGGAATACTTGAGCTGCGGTGTCGGTTGTTTTGGCAGTTTTGCTGTTGCTTTTCGAGTGAAAGCACAAATGAGCATCGACCAGTTGTAAAGTGGGATATTTCCAGCTGCTACTGTTGCAGCTGTTTCCCTATCAACGTCGTTCGGTGACGCTCTCAATCAGAAGGCAGTAATGCAAAGTTAAAAAAAGATGCCAACTGTCGTAAAACCTCAAAAAAATCGCTGTTAACGAGGAGCCTTGAAGGCACCATGAATCAAGCGAGTTGTTGTCTGGTAGCAGCCAATGGGAGGGCGGTGCTCCTGACGTGCTAACGCGCATGTCCTCAGAGGGGCACACGTGGTTTGTGTAAACCACGCACGCAGACTCAAGCAGTGCTTCAGAAATGGCGGCCGATAGTGGCAGCTCTTCGCTGCAGCTACCCTGCGTTTTTTCACCCAAATCACGACAGTACTTAGCATTGTGTGCCCAAGATGGCAGACTTCGCATTTGGAACACAGATAGTAAAACACTTCATCAAGAATATGTGCCTTCAGCCCATTTGAGTGCCACTTGTATCTGCATAGCCTGGGGACCATGCCGGATAGTCAAGGTACGTAAGGCTGCTGTGGAATTCCCTGCTGTTAGCACTGTAGCTAGCGAGGCCTTAGCAGGTCTGCCTGTGATAGAGTTTCCTATTGAAGTGCACATAGTTAAACAAGAAAATTGTCGCTTTTCTCAAAGAAAATACCTTAGAATACTTGAAAACCCAGTTTTGTGTTAATTCAGACGCTTTCCTCTATCTCACAGAGACTTCATTAACAGGGTAGCCACCTTAGCCGTTAGCTAGCTTTCAGCAGCTGCGCAGGACGCACATGTTAGTCCCACATGGTAGTCTAGAAAACATGGACAATGTCTACATTTTGTATTTCAGGGTGAACTAACTCTAAAGAATAGGTGAAGGAGCTCCAGTATTCCGACCAGTTGTTTCCCACTGTGTTTAGACCGTCAGTACTGCAAATAAAGTCGTTATTTAAGTTAGCACTAGCACATCAAAGCTTCAGAAGCGTGTGCCACCATGACACTTCCAGAAAGAGAGATTCAGAAAGTTTGAACCGTTTTATTAACAGTTCACCACAAGTCAGAGTGTTTAGTTTGACACAAATTTAAACGCTGAATCTTTATTAAGCTTTTTAAAACAGTTTGGAACGTGTATATTGGGAATATATTTTCCACAAATGCAAATGGTGTCTGCTTACTTTACCAACCATTAGGTTGTTCAGCAAGCTAACTTTACACAATCGATGATTAGTAGTCAAAGACAGCATTTGTTTCTATCTGCTGTCAGTATGTTGGTGTAGAATGTCAAAGCAGGTAGTGGTAATGGACTCAACATGAGTGAAGGTACAGTCTCCCATATAGTGAACTGAGCCGGTCTCATACACTGTCATTATTGGTCAATTTGACTCAGTATTAAAAATGTGCTGTGTTTCAGGAGGGACCTCAGAGGAAGAAGAGGAAATCGGAGGCAGGGCAGGTGGAGGAGAAGGCAGACCTGTTGGCAATGGGCACGGCGGCGGGTAGCGTGCTTATCTACAGTACAGCAAAGGGAGCCCTGCACTGTACCCTGGTGAGTCTGAGATTCAACACACTGTGGACATCCGGCTTGTATACCATATCCTATAGAGGAGAGATCAAATGTAAGATGCTAAGAGTGCCTTTTTTTTCATACTGTGAAAGTTACTTCATACTATTCCCTAAATGATGCCTTGGCGTGTGGAGAACAGGAAATGAATTTTTCTATGAATAAAGATACTGTGACAGTAAAACATATTAAATGTTAGTATTGCTTTAGCATTCAGTTTTTAATATCAGGATAATTGGTTTACCACTGATAACTATGTTTTCTGTCTCTGCCAGGATGGAGGCCATAGTGGGGGAGTAAATTGTGTTCAGTGGCACCCTGAAGACACTTTATTGTACAGCGGCTCAGATGATACAAACATTGTAGAGTGGGACCTGCAGACGGGCAAGGCGAGGAGGTCAGTATCTAGTTTGTTAGTAGAAATACAATATGTTATTAAAAAATTAATATGGGAAAGAATGTGTCCAGAACTGACCAAACCAAAACACATTTTCTATATTGAGTCATGTTATTGTTATTATTATTATTATTATTATTATTATTATTTAAAATCCAAATGTAATGCTATAAAGAGAAATATCTCGAATGAAGCAGGAGCTGCAGTCTGTAGTAGAACCAGGTGAAATAGGAAAGAAAATGGGTCTGTTTTTAGTTTATCACACTTTAAACCACTGAACTTGTTTTCTATTTAATCCGTCTCAGACTGTCATGATATGTTCTTGAAAGAATATTGTTTCCACGAATACATATCTTATGCCCCTTTTGCACTTTATTGTGATTTACTCTATAGCGGGGGCTCTCCTCTGTTGGTCCTGCTTAAACTGCTAAAACACACACACATGGTTGTGCACTTGTGTTACAGACTGTGCCTTTTCAATCTCAAATGATCTTTGACATGTACAGATACAGGCTTGCAGAGAGCATAGCAACCAGACAGCATCTAAGTTTCATCTCGGCTGTTATTACAGATAGCTGGATGATGCCTTATGAAGCTTTGGGTCTTTGTTTCTACTTGTGCCAAAAGAGATTCTAAGATTCTGGGCTATGTATCTGTGCAATAGAAGGCTAAGAAGCCTGCGTGTTATTAAATCTGTAACACCTTGTGTTCTAGTGTTGCATTAAATGTAAATGTAAATGTTATTGTACGCTGTTAGTTAAATAATTAATAAATGCATGCTTCATAAAGCCTAAATATAGAAAATTTCTGCTGACATGAAATATGACTGTACTTTTTTGTTGCAGTTTAGGCCCAGTGTCACTGTGGGCTCTTAAGTCTTAACATTATGATTGATATTTATGCAACATTATACAATGAAATGCAACATTAATTAAATCAAATAATTACTTTTATTCCATTATTTGGTATAAGTGGACATGTTTGCATACTTAAGATTTTCTAGTGTTTATCACAATTTCTTAATTGTTTCACTAATATGCCGATCACATTATGCTGCCATACTTTCAAAACTGTCAAACCCAACCAAACACTTTGAGGCAGCAGTAATGTTTGAAGCCTGTGACGTCAACAGTAGGGCTGCACGATATGGTGAAAACATCATATTGCCATAATTTTGACAGATACTGTGATTCATGATTATGTGGGAATAAAATATCTTTGCATAAATGGAATTTTCACCCCAAAAAAAGATTAACATAATGTAAAATGTTTTCTTAAATCTCGAGAATAAGATTTGTAGCAGCATCTCTGAAGAACTACAGTACTTCAGTATAATGCTGTTTTGTCACACATTTTACCTTTATCTAAACAGTACAGCTCCTGTGATTTGCTTTTCACACTTGGCCATATTGCGATTTTGAAAAGATTTCAATTCAATATCCAGCCCTAGTCGTAAGTCACGTTGTATTTGTTTCACACAAAATCTGATTTTACAGAAGTGAAGCAGGCTTCAGTATTATCTGCCCGTCTTAACCTGTTGTAGAATCCGTTACGGTTGTCATTGTAACCGGTGAAAACAATCACCAGTGGCACCTAAAAATGACCACTGTCAAATATTGTCACCTGTACATGTGCATTTGTCATGATTACACTACTTATTATGAAAAACAAGTGAGTCTGCAACTTTGCTAGCACAGAAATAGTTTTTCCCCCCGACATTGCCACATGCTGATCTAAATGATTGACAAACCAATCACGTCGTATGTTATACTGTAGTCACCTGACGAGCTTAATCACACTGATCCTAATGCGTCTTCTGATCCATGTAGTTACTAGATGATGGTATTTGCTCACTCCTTAAATATGTGGTCTTAGTTGCTCTTTGTGTAATAACATATGACACTAGTGGAAATCCTTATTTTCCTTATTTTAGGCAAGAACTGAACTTCTCCACCAATCACATATATCTGTGTATGGTATCTGTGGAGAGAGCAATGTCAGCATGGAGCTAATGTCACAGAAAATTTAAGAACAGAACTTGGGTGACCATATTCATCCCAATCACATTCCAATAGCCAGGACCAAAGCATCTCTGCTAACTTAAATCACTGGTTCTATATGATGGTTGTGGGAAATAGCCATGTCAGATTGGCTGTCCTTTAAGATCATATGAAGTAACTGAATCTGATTTAATTGTTAAACCAACCTGAAACTGTCTCTTACCAAACCTGTATTAGTGAAGCATGGTAGACAGTGTTATGGTCCCTCTAATGGACTCTTTTACTCTTTTTGCACCTTGACTACTTGTAAAAGTATTGATTCTAAAAAGACAACAATTCCAATCTTATAAGTAAATCTAACAAAGGTGAGTTGTAGTTCAGTGTAAAGAAAAGTTGTTTAAAGTCCTATGTGAGGTACGGGAGGTATACTTCTGTAAGGGGCAGTAGATGAAAATCTACCAGGAGAGGAACAGGCTGGCTGTGAGAAACCTTTTATGCAGTCAGTTCTGCAGAATGGAGGGCCATAAGTTGTGGATTGAGTTCATCCTTACACGAAGGGGTATCTGCTTTGATAAAGCAAAGGATGTCCTATTATGGCTATGAGTAACTGTTGCAGCCTTCAAATGGCATATGTTATTGCTTTACTCTTATTGTCTCTGCTTCTCCTCACACAGAAAAGACAGTTTAAAAGAGCCTAATGTGGATGCAACCTAATGCTTCTAATAGCCGGCTCTACCACATAAGTCAGGACCTGGCACCTCGCTCACAAGCACTAAAATACATCAACAAGCCATATCACTGAAGGTTCTAGAATAATGCATTTAGTATCACTGTATTTCATCATAAACACCCTTTCTCCAGTGACTGATTCAGTAGCGGCACAGTCGGTGGGTACAATCATGGGCAGTAATGTCTCCATGAATCCTCACTTGATGCTCACTAAAGCCCATTTGTGGTCCACAAAATGGTTTGGAGAGTGGTGTGAGTGTCTGGACTTTTTGTACTGCTATCAAGTCGAGTACAATAGTAAATAGTTTGCTGTTGAATGTAGCTGTAAAGTTTCAGGCTCTTCACTTAAATATAAAAAAAAATTTGATTGAAAACATAATACAGGAAGTGGTATTTGGATCTGACAATGGAGAACAAAACAAGTCTGTTGGATGCTCTTCATCTGGTTTAGTAATGTGAACAAGAGAGGAAATAGAATCCCATAAAAAAAGTTAGAAGATAAACCTTCACCAAAATACATAAAGGCACTTTGTCACTTTGGCACATTGTCTCTTTGTTTGTGCACAGTAAGTGGAAGGCGGACCGTGCAGCAGTGACCAGTCTGTGTGTGAGCCCTGATGGCAAACTCCTGCTTTCAGCTGGTCAGATTATTAAGATGTGGGACTTGGACACCAAGGAGGTTTACAGGGTGAGTATGTTGTCTATGCAGCTGATTTCTATTCATATTTGTCCATTTATTCAGGGTGTACAGGGTCTTAAAAATATCTTAAAAATTAATTGGATTAATGACATTAACATTAATTGTATGAAGTTCCTTTTTTAAATGTGTTTTTGGGAAAAAACTTTCTGATCATGCTATAACAATACACAATGAAACCAACAAGAGACCAATACTGATTTTCCTTTATATCTTTCGTACCTTTTTTGCCAGTTTGGAGGTAAATTACACTCATAATGCTCATAGAAAGTCTTAAATTTCACCAGTTGAAACCTGCAGAAACCCTGTTTATGAGATCAAGGATAACTATTATGGGTTTCCATGTAAATATACTTGAAGCCACACTCTTAAGGGAAAAATTTGTCACAAAATAAATGAGTCCTACTAGTTATTCAAAGTAGCAGTGACTAATCATGCCTACACGTTTCAGTCATTCAGGCCTTTCAGAAAAAGAATTACTCTTCTAAAACAGTCAAACATTGGGCCTGGTTTTTCAAGCAGAATATCCTCAACTGTCCTGCTGATGGTCATTTTTCTCTCTGCAGAAGTTCACAGGCCACTCCACGGCTGTGACGACCCTGCGCTTTGCCACCACGCGACCCCCCGACAGCAATGGTCTCTATTTCCTGTCTGGTGCTGCACACGATCGGCTTCTCAGTGTTTGGTGAGTGCACACGTAACAGCCAGAGCTCATTCCACCTCCTTTAAGATGTTCTGCTGTTGTTTGGCTTTTATTGCCGAGCTTATTTTCATGCAGCTGACATGAAGTTATCTCACTGTAGGCAAGTACGAGAGGACGGAAAGGACAAGAACTCAGTGGTTTCCTTCACACTGACGGACGAGCCACAACACATTGACCTCGTCACGTCCAACAGCAAGGAAGAGGTCAGAGTGGAGCAATGTCTATTACTGCAATGATGCATTGATTTGTACTGAACTGTATGTTAAGCTCTATGAATCGAATAACTGTTAATCAAATCTGTTACAATGTGGTAAAATGATGGTTAATAGTAACTCTGACCTAAGAATATGGGTGCAGCTATTGAAATGGCCGCTGTGAATGTGCATCCATGTTTATTTGGGATTTGAAGGTGCTTTAATGTGGTGTAATTATGTTGGAGCTCCACAGACTTCATGTTTACAATACCTATTTACCATATGCAAATGTTTGTTTGTGGTGTTTTTGTTTTTCACAGGCGTTGAGGCTGGCAGTGGTGTGTAAAGATGGGCAGCTGCATCTCTTTGAGCACTTTTTAAATGGGTAAGGCCTTAAAACACTACATACTGTACTAGACAACATATGGCAGTGAAAGATAACTATATGAAACACTTGAGCACTTAGTAAAAGCAACTACTTTGTTTTGTATCAGACAGTTTGTATTCCAATTTTAAGTTTTGATTTGTTCTCTCCTCAGTGTCCATCACTAAAACAAAACTTTTCATTCAAATTTAGTCAGTCGGCAGCGTCACAGCTGAAAGGGTGGGCGCTCTTCTCTGACAGCCCTACTCTGAACTGCACTATTAAGACAGCTGTATTTTCAGATGCAGAGCAAATCCATGAATTCTGAAAGTAATTTTAATATTTGTTCATTCATATTTGAATTTGGTATTTGCGCCCCCTAATGGCTGATGGAGGACATTGCATTGCCAGCAGCAGACACTATAAGAAATATTCACCCCTCGTTCTCTGCAGGAATTCAAAATTTAGATTTTCTGGATTGTTGAATAATAAATCTCATCTAACACATTTCATTCACTGTTCTATACTTGCTGTGCTCATGGCCTGTCATCTGTCCCCACAGGCCCTGTAAGAAGCCCTTGTCACCTTCGTGTACGGTGCAGATGTCCGACACAAAGGACTCCCCAGTGCCCATCCCACTGCTGGCTGCTGCCCTCGGAGTTGATACACGGACTGTGATGCTGGCCTACGGCAACCACCTACAGCCGGTCATGGAGAAAGTGGTAAGTGTTTCACTACTAGGGTTACAACACCATGACGTTTTGCTTGGACAGCCATGCTTTGTACAGCTGATACGATAGAGCAGCTTCTCCATATTTTCTTTACAGAGATGGTCTATGTTCTTGCACTGTATAAGCAACAGGACATAACAATCCCATTTCCAGGAAGTCTTGGTTGTTTCTGACTTGTATTCCACATGTTGGATAATGGGCCTTCATGTTATTGGATCACTACAGTCCCAAACGAACTGTTCTCATTGGGTTATTATGTTTTTGTTCTATTTATTTGACCAAAATTGACTTTTAGTGAGAAGCAAGATTCATGGTTAAGGTTTGATTGACAATTTGGGTGCACGGCTACTAAATGAATCACATAGAAAATAGTGCTGTGATTAAGTACAGTAATACTAAATGCTTGACAGCACGTAGTATTATGGGAGTTTTTTTCACTTGTGTTCAGGTTTTATTCTAAATAGAATACATTCCTAATTCTTGATTGGTGTATTGTTACATATAAGCTGTTTACCAGCTTTGTTAGCATCAGAGGAAGAATTGAAAAACCTGTGTTGATCATACTCTTGATCTACTTTCCACCCATGTGTACAGGAGATCAACACAGCAGAGAGACACATCTGTTTGACCCGGGATGTTCAGACCAGCTTGTCCCTTTCCATGGAAACCGCTGTTTCCAAGGTAACAATCAAGTTTTACCTTTTTTCATACGAGTCAAGAATACTAGTGTATCTCTGGCAGGTTGTCTGTATAGAACCTTATTTGCCAATGTGTCCACTGTAGCTATTTTCAAACTGTGACTGAAGATGATAATCTGAGATCTGTTTCCCGTTCCAGGTGAAAACTCCAATTGTCAACACCAAGAGCAGAGTGTTGGTCCCAGGGCTCCCTGGTCATCAAGCCCCAGTCAAGGGAGCCTCACAGGGATCAGAGAAGAGGAAAAAAGACACAGACACCAAAGAGGTGGGTTCAATGTCATTGACAAGAAGTGGCTCACTTTCTCATTCTGCTGGCTTTTTGGTACAGTCCAAACAACTTGAGGAGCCAGAACTGTTTGCACCACGGTGTTGTTACTAATCACACCCCATTAATAAAAAGACAGATATAAGGAGGACACCGTTTTAACTGTAAGAGCAGTGTGTTTGCTGACAGTATACGGTGTCTGCATCAGTTCCCTCTTTTTATATTGCAGTAGTTGGACACATCATTCATTTACTTAATTGCCAGACAAAGTGTAATATTGCCACTTGGCTTTTCTTGCTTTCATACAGGCTTTATGTGATGTGGTATTAAACCTGGGTAAATTGGATGGATAAATTTGGTGTGTGAACAGATGTCAGCCATTTCCAGTTGACCGAAAACATCTCTGTTCTCTTGTAGATGTCGATAGCGGAGCGACTAGGTGAAATTGATCTGTCTTCAGTCTCCATCGAGAAGGGAGCCCCTAAAGGGACAGCCTCTTTGCAGACGGACAATTTTGCAGTGCTGCTGGTGCAGGGCCTGGAGAGCAGCGATGCAAGCATCCTAAATGTAAGTGTTCTTCTCAGAGTCTGTGCTCTGAAATAAAACATTCAGTGCAGTTTGATGAAAAACCAAAGTGAATTTCCCAAGTTTGTTTTACTACCAGTAAATTGTTTTGGGTTGAAGATTTTAACTCTAACTGTAAAATTCTTTCATAAGATCCTACTTTTAGTTTTTAGAGTTAAGCGATTTGACATGCTGATTTACTGTAGTTGTAAACATAAACCCCTACTTGAAATTTGTCGCAGCAATCAACTTTTTTTTCCCTCTACAGAAAGTTTTTCAGACCCGTAAAGAGATGGTGATAAAGAAAACAGTGGCTCGGTTACCCCTTCCTGCTGTTTTACCTTTGGTGGAAGAGGTGAGCATCAGTTTTATATGCATTGTGCAAACCACTCCATGTTCCTGTGGCGTGTCAATAGTTTTTTATGTTTATCGTTGAGACGCCAGTTTACTGTTACTAGAGTCTACCAGATCTTCTGTCACACTATCAGGATTTCTAAGTGAAGTAGAGCTGCGACGATAAGTTGATTAATCAATATGATTTTTCTTGCAATAATGGCTGAAAAAGTTTCAGCCTCTCAGATGTGGAGCCTTCCTGCTGTTCTGTTTTAACATTGTATTAAATGGAATGTCTTTGGGTTTTTAAATGACAAAACAGGACATCTAAAGACCTCATGTTGGACTTTGAGGAACTGGGATGGCTGTTTTTCACTATTTTGACACTTTACAGACCAAACAATGAATCGATTAATTTAGAAATTATTGGGCACATGAAAATAATTGTTAGTTGCAACCCTAAAGTGAAATTGTAGTATTAACTTGTTGCTGCAGTTTGTAATCGGTGCTTCATCTCTCTTTCTGTAGATCACAAAGAGACTCCAAGGGCATCCTTTTACGTAAGTTGAAGCTTGGCAGATCAACTCTAATCATTTAATTGGCTTATTGGCTGTTTGTACACATCAGACATCAGTAACTAATGGTGCTGCTTTCTGCTTTCCATTAAAAACCCTATCATGTGGATATTTACAGTCAGGCATTTGTGGTTCCCACTTGACAGCATATCCATTTGTTCCTTCCTACAGGGCAGTTTTAATGGTACGGTGGCTCAAGGCTGTACTCATGCACCACACATCATACCTGGCATCGGTGAGTTCACTTTACCAACATCACATTCTGTCTTTACTGCTGACTAAAAGCCACCCGATCGTTGATGCTTGTTTGACTATTACCCCATAGCGCCTTCTGTACAGACGCACACTTTAAGCTCTATATGATTCCCCTCCGCAAAACAAGCATATAAACCCACACAACACAATGCATACCACGTCCCTTTGACGACATTCACCTTTAATCTTTAGATCTACAGTCATTACCTCCATCACACAGCACAGATTATGTGACTGTCCCCAACCGTTTGGCAATATGTGACCGAAATATCATAGCCAGCAGCTGAACACCTTTTACTGTGCACTATGACGCTTAGAAGAGGAAACCTTTTGAAAAGCCTTTATCATAGTACTGTCAGATGGCTAACCTTTAGATCTTCAAATTACACATCCCCTGACCTGTAAGGTTATACAGGCAAAGCATTTGCTCTTCAAACTGAACCCAGGACATTTCCACTCAACCTACTATAAGGTATTGTCCACAATTTTAATGTGAGGTAAGGTCTCCTGGCTACCCTTTTGTGTACATCAATATGAAAGCAATAGTTAATGAGGGAGACGAGACCTTGGCCGAGGTCTGCTCATCGATTGCGGTCTTGTTTGTTTTCTGCTGCTCACATGTTTTTATCTTTAACGGATCCGTCTGTGTATCCAACAGCTGCCAGACCTGGTTACCCAGTTAGGAGTCCTTTATCACATGATTGAGAGCAGAGTGAAGATGTTCCACAAGCTAACAAAGCTGCATGGGAAACTGTATCTCCTAATGACACAGGTAGGTGTCCTCATGTACAGAAATGAGCCCTCTCTTTGCCTTTTAAGTGTTTTTAAATGTCTGGACTGTGACGTAAGTATGAATTGGGTAGTAGGGGTTGCTTAGATCCACTGCCTAATGTTTTAGTGCCCATAGTGCAAAATGTCCCCTCAGCTCACTGTTTGAAACTCGACTGTGAACTAGTTCTAAAACATCAGCTGTTTGCTGAGAGGAAGGTTGCATCTAGACACTTAATTAAGGACTGTCAGTAGAGAGTGGTGTATAGGGGAATTGTATCAGATCTTTGCAAGATTGTGATAAAGGTTTATGCATTTCCCAAGTGTAGTATACATTCACTAGTGCACTACAGCTTCAACTACTCACTGCACTGCACTGTTTTCATTTTTGAGTTTAGACTTGTGTTTTTACAACCCAGTCGTCAGGCACATCTGTCCTACAGAGAAATTGTGACCTTGTGGAGAAGGTTCCTTCCACATTGTCTTGAATGGAGTGATCTGTTCTTGTTTCCTCCTAATAGATTCTAGCTATGTCCCCGACATCAACGTCACAATCAATTCAGACAAAGATGCATCTGCAGACTTTACAAGGACGATTATCTGCTCCCAAAATTTAAAGTTGACAGCTTCTGACCTTGTGGGGAACGTAGTCAGTGAGCAATCTGCGTGTGAACAGAAGTACTTCCTTGTAGGATCATTGGCTGTGTGCTTGACGTCATCCACAGCAAATCGACACAGATGTACATTGTCCCAGTGCAATTTCAGAATCATCTACCTGCTGCGTGAATATGATGCGTCATTCTGAAGACAAATGTTGAAAATTGCCATCTATTTGCCCAAATGAAGTCCCACGTCGGGGGGCCTCTCTGGCAGGGATATGACTTCACAGGATCTTTATTCATCCTTCTTTCACAAAGAATGCACATCAGGGTTTTTGCTCCATTTCAGCTGTTATACACCTAATTCAGGTAATGTGTCATGAAAATGTACCCCACCTAATTAGATCAGGTGTGCAGCAACAGGACTGAAGAGAACCTGTGGGCCTTGAGGACTGGGTTGACGAATAAACACGTAGACAGTTTTATCCTTCTGCCAAAAACTTCAGTGGTACAAGTGCAACATTCTGTGCCTTTTTGAGATTTCAAAGTGAGGTGGTTTTGAGGGACTAAACTGACTTCAGTCCTTGTCCACTCGTGTATTAAATCTTCTGCAAATAAAAACAGGAAAGAACCGGAGAATAGACGTCCAGTGAAGGATTTGTGCAGACAATGATCCTAATACCCATCTTCCCTTTTACCACTAGGTGGCGACAAGTGACAGCAGCAACAAAGTTACAGATGTTGACCACACCGCTAAGCTGGTGTATGAAGAGGGTGAGTGTTTATTCTTCTTGTAGTGTCCTCATTTATGTTCAGTCTAACTGATCTTCTGTTTCTTAGCCTGTCCGTGTCTTTAACTGTCTTCCATGGTGGCATCACAATTTCTTTAGCCCTTAAATTCTCATGTGGAATCTGTCCATCTGGTGAGCAGTGTGAGTGGCAGCTGACAGAAATAAAATGATCTAATTTCATTCTTGACGTAGCAGATGTACATTACAGATGATTGGCTGGGGTGACTCTTTATGCCCGCTGCAGTGCAACAGGTCACACTGCTAGGGCAGGGATCTCGACATCAGACCTCTGTTTTCATTGATTTGACTGGCATTCATTATCTTGTCAATTCACCGTAAGTCTTTCGGGACTGTTCATACAGACTGCACACGATTGGTTAAGATTTATGAAGGTAGTGTTGCCCATCATGCAGCCACTCTTGGCGATGCACCGCACGCAAACATGACTCCTGTTGCCTGGCAACCTGACCGGCAGCGTTCAGATCCTCCCTTTTGAGCAGAACAACAAGGCCCTGCTCTGTTCACTCTCATTTCTCATTACCGTACTGTATAAAACGCTTTATTGAACCACATAGAAAATTGGCTTTCATGAAATAATTAAGCTGCGCTTTGAGATCCAATACCCGTCAGTGGTCCAGGATGTGAAGGTTCAATTAAAAAGAAAGTTTGTGAAGGGAGCTGATGAACAGGAGGTTGTTACAGTCTGGTGTGGGTACTGCTCTACACTGGGCTTATTATGGGTCCAACATGGGAACCTGACAGTTTACTTCAGGGTTGTGTCAGACTAGTAAGTGAATCATAGCGTAGTCAGGCTGTGTGCAGCATGTACAGTTAGAATGGATGTGATTAATTGCAAACAGCTGTTGTGGTCTAGATTTGTTCTGGCTGTTGCATGTATGGTTAACATGAATTATATATTAATTAACCATTTGGTAGCATGAGCTATGATTAGAGTAGATGCAGAACTGATGCCAATTCAATAGATGGACTTCACGTGTTGACCGATCCAATACAACTGCCTAAAACATATTATATAACCGCAGCATGCTGCTAACACTACTCTGATCAGTTTCAATTGTTGTATGCCTGGCTCAGGCTAACCCTTTGTAAAACGTGAACAAATTTATACAGACAATGAATGCCATCAAAATTTTATTGTGTAGTTTGACAGTCCAAAGTCCAATTTCTGACATTTAGGTCAAAAATCAACTCCTCTTCGCCACTCTAGAAAATAGGTTGCCAGTGCAGCACAGTGCACATGACCTGCCTCTGCCGCTGATTGGCTTCATTGGTGTGGGTTGGTTAGGTTTAGGCATGATGACTGAGATTGGTTAGGGGAAAAAATGGCAAACAGAACTTTGTTGGGAAGTAGCAGTTTTCCTGTTTCAGGGCTAATATTACGTTTAATTAATGAGACTTGCATACTCATCGATACCCAATCCTTTTCAGAGGTACCTGTGTGACAGGCATTACCTATACCGGTATCAGTATCTGAACAGCCCTAGAGGATGTCTGTGAAAACACAGGATTAGATGTAGTCCTTTAGGCCTGGGATTTAGGGGTGATGCAGATAATGGGGCAGCCAGTTAGAAAATTGTACACCGTGTCCTGGTGTTATATAAAAGTTGCTTTGCTTCACAACACTCTTAAAAACAGTTGGCCCCTGACTCCAAATGATTACAACCATTGAATTGATGGGTACATGTTATAATAATGGTAATGGCCTCAGAAGTTGACCTGTTTCACCCTCTTCTTTTGTATTCCTGCCACTTCTCTTTTCAGTGGAAATGTGCGCAAACCTATCATGTATTGTTGGTAAAATGGCCTTTTAATGTCAATTAGCCTACATCCTGACCATAGTGTCCACTCTTCTGAGGCCGTTTGGATTACCAAAACATTACATCATGTTCCACTTTACAATCTAATTCTTAGTCTTTCTTTGTATAACACCTGCCACATTTCCCTGCTGCACAGCATATAAGCACACTTACAGTTATGAAGTAGTAGAATATTTACTTATGTCTGCATCTGAAGTCAGCCAGTGCCTGTTTGCAGCAGATGGTGCCTGGCTGACCTGATGGGGCAGATAGCCTCAGCAAATCATATTGACATTCCTCCCTTCTGCACCACACAGTCCGTATTGTTGTCATAACCAAGTGGCCCAGCTATGGTATTGAAATGCAAATATCTGCCGTTCTCGCCTGAAATGTATAAACAAGTGAAAGCATGGAGGGCTTGCTCCTTTCTTTTTTCACTTCTCTTCCTGTGCTGGGGGGGGGTGTTATGCCAGCATTGATGGTATGAAAACTGTTTTGCATTAGCAGCTTATGGATTTGTTTTCCTTTGTGTGCCCTTTACAGAATCATCTGAGGAAGACGAGGCGTCTGGTGATGAAGGTCTTCCTGATGACGACTCTGATGTAAGTAGGCCAGTCTGAGCGTTGGACTAGGATCTGTGTAGGAAGTTAGCAGCAGCACTTCAACAGTTGAACAGTAATGTTCTCACTGTAAATTGGTGCATGTTACCAAACTGCAGACACTTCTTAGGCTGTCCATTTCTGAGTTGAGCATTAAGATGTTTATTTTTGGTCTGTGACAGAACTGGGAAGAGGAGGAGGCGATGGAAGAAGAGAAGGAAGAAAAAGCAGACGAGGAAGAGGATGATCCAGAAAGCAGAACAGATTCCAAAGCTAACGGAGAGGAAGACATGGAGCACGGAAACGAGAGCGAAGAGGAATGAGGAGAAATGCCAATCATACATTAAATGGACCTGAAAGAGTTATATATACTTTCATTTTATTTTCATGCCTTTGATTTTATTATCAGAACAAAGTATGGTTTTACAAAATCAAGGGACACATGTTGTTGAAACGTGGGCAGCTTGGCACCCTGCCTCGCCACCACACCGTTCAGCCACAAGGGCGGTGCTGTAACGCCATCCTTTCTCCCCGTCTGAGGAACAGATGCAACATTTTGGGGAGAAAGGTAAAATGAAACTAACAAAGTTCCCCTTTGTGCTGTCAGTTCAGTCTGCATCCCAGCTCTATAGCCTGATGAGTTTGCATTGAAAATGACTGAAAAGATAATATGGTGGTGCTCCAGTTTACCTACACTTCAGTCTGCATTCCAAATTGTATGTCCCTGTAATAAATAGTATTAGAGTATATTCTATGATCAGTTAACAGTAGACGAGACAGCACTCTGTCTGTGATTGGTTTACCCAACTCTGTAGGTCACCTGGAACGCACCTAGTTGTCCAGCGGAGCCCACCGGCGCAAACGCAGTGCATGTGTGGAGTTGGGATGCAGCCCCCCCCCCCGGCTGTATGTTGTACAGAATACTGCTCGATCCAGAAGTGAGCTTGTGACCATACATCATGTCCCCACACAATGTAAATCTGTATGTACAGTGAAGTGTTTGTATGAGCTCTTCCCTCTACAGCTACCCCCCACAAATCCTTGGGATTAAACGAACTCCTGTAAAGTCTCCTGAATGCTGTTTTTTTTTTATAATTTTTTATTTTTTTATTATTTTTATTGTTTCCACATTGGTTGCAGGCCCTCGTTTTAACTTTTTGTGCGTTTAGTTTCTGGCCATGCCCTGATGTCCACTGCCTTGAACCCATAGTCACAGGGGCAACTGAGAAAAAATGTGAAATTTGCTCGAATAGGTGAATAAATGGGTTTTCAAAATGGCTTACTGTGTCTGGTGGGGGGGTTGAGAAGTATACTGTAAGTTATGAGTCTAATAACCAAAGTGACATTTGTTGGAGTCTTGTACATACTGCGAGTGTTCCAGGTAGTTTGTGAGTGGGTGGTATCGGAACAACATCTCTAGCAGGGTTTGTCATTTCATACTGTAGTCTTGATATATATTGTAATGTAGAGAAACTTTATGGAAAACTACTATATTTTATTTATAGTTAAAAAAAAAATAAAAATAAAAAAAAAAAAACCCCCCAACCAAGCAACCCCAACAACCCCCCCCCCCCCCCCCCTCGAGTTCTCTAAGCAATTTCTTTTTATTTATCGTAGCCTGTTAATAACTGAACAATAGTTACTGACAGCAAGCAGTGAAAATACAGCTCTGTGTACAATGGAGTTTGCTGTTTGACTAAGACTATAAAAAATGTGCTAAATGCAATCTTTAAAAACTAGAACTTAAATATACATTAATTCAATTACTTCAGTGAACTGCTTCAAACTGCACAGCACTACAGTGTAGGCTGTTTTTGTTTCATATAATGAACACTGGAAAAATAATTGGAGTTTTAATCCTCCACAATAAGAATTCAATCAATTGTCCTTTTTTAAAATAAAAAAAATCCCACAGACCCCTGCAATGATGCCAGTTGACATGTTATTCAGCACAGGTCAGGGGTAGGCTGGTTCATGGGTGGGGATATGGGGGGATATGGGGAGACTGGGCTGCTGAAGCTGCTTCTGTCGGCCTGGCTCAGTTGAGTTAATACGTACAGGCTGGCAGAGGGTTTGCCTGCGTATATTAAATGTCGGCTAAAAGTGAAGCGAAATGTGAACACAGAGTTCTCTGTTAAGACATTAAGTCGCTAATGTTAGGGGAGCAAAAATCGGTTATTTTCCACCACCCACCGACTACATCCACCTTTGTTGTGAAAAACTAGGTGACACACCGTCAACCTTTCGTTTCTCTCTCCTGTCTTTCTTTTCATTTTTGGAAGCTGGATTTTTCTCTGGGAAGCGGAGACACGCTGTTCCACCAGCAGTCCTTGGAACAGAGCTGGGTAAAGACCTGATGGGTGGTTTGACATTTTTAACTGGAAATTCCGACATTTCCTTCTAGATTTGTCAGTTTTCAATATTTCTAGACCCAAGAAGAAATCTAACAACGCCTTTTAATCATTCAAACATATTTCCTGCTCGAACACGAGACTGGAAGCAGACATTTTGACATGCAGCAGCTCAGGTGCAGTCAGTAACTGTAATTGCTGCCGTCCACTGTATTGTATTGTGCTAGCGGAGACAGCACATGTGGAACTAATAACACTTAAGTCAAACTGCCTGCTGTGAAAATGCTTTGGTGACAGTAAGAACCACTATAGCATACACAGAGATCTGACAGGAAATACAAGTATGTGGGTTCAGTTTAAAAAGATCCATGTTACTTATTGTTAAACAAGTGTATATTATAACATAAAGCAACCAAGCGGTGCAAGTGTTGACTTCACAGATGCAGACGTAGATGAATATTAACAAAAGCTTAATAGATTAACCTTGAAATCACCTTTTTTTGTTGTTGTTATTGGCTTTGTTTTTGCTGTTTGTGTTTGTCGCCCCCAGTGCTCCAGGACCACTTTGTGATTTAGGCTGACAAGCCAGGTGGGACGCTCCGAATGTCCCGCAAAGTGGCTCTCCTGTCTTGGTCATTTTATTGGACGACATCACTCTTGTAAAACGGAGACTGTGGCGTGTCTCAGCAGCACTTCCACTGTGTAGCTCACATCCAGGCTTTCCACACTCTCAGTGCACGCAGGAACAGCTGAGTGAGAGGGTCGGCTATGATGGAGGTGATGGAGCATGAGGTCTTGCTCCTCTGGTGGGTGGGGTGGCGGGGTCCGCAGCTCTGAGAAGGCGAAGAAGTTTTTCCAGTTAATGAAGAGCTCCTCACAAACAGCAGTAGCAAACACAGCAGAGAGCCAGGTCACCGGGTAAATTAAGGAAAGTCTGTTTCATAAAGAAGGTTTAAGTGCAATGCAAGTTACCATGGAAACTAATCTCACCTAATATTTTATTTCCATGCTAAAAAAAAAAAAAAATTACAGCCAGTGTTTGGTTTGTCCGTTCTGGGCTACTGTAGAAACATGGCAGTTCAACATGGCAGACTTCATGGAAGGCGACCAACAGTGTCTGGAGATAAAAAGGCTCATTATTCTTCTATATCCATACATCTATGTATATATAACCAGCAGGGAAATCACTTAAGTCTAGACTTTGCTTAGAGATAAGACCATCGTGATCATAAGCTTTATACAGCTCGCCTCCCTGAGCTGACTTTATGAAACAAGCCTCTGGTCAGCTTCAGCTACATTCCACCTGCATCATCTGTAAACCCTTCCCTGACTTTGTTCAAGCCTGCAGTGACGCACTTTTGAACGTCAGTCATCTAGTTCATCTAGTCACCGTGTCACCATGGGACTTGTCTGTTGTCAGATTTACTGGGTAGTAGACACATTCTCTCTGACCTTGGATTTGCCCTGAGGGTCTGTAAGATGAGGGAGAGCTGTCCAATCTATTGATTAAAGCCCCCAGGGGAGGCATCTTCCTGTCACGCTACTGACACGACTTCCTGGCCCCGTAAGACTGTAAATAATGGAGGGATGTTAGCTCATTACCAGAGCCCGTGGTTGAGCTGTGGTTAGACGAGTTCAGCTGAGGGAAGAGAAAACCATGTCATTTTCCAAATGGGTGCTGATGACTGGTCACCCGGAGCCACCAGTATTGGTGGCTAACCATTCATGAACTGTTATGTAAAATGTCAGCGTTCCACTAAATCTATGATTGTGTGAATGAACATCAGACTTTTTCCACACTGAATAATGCATTTATGAGTGTGCATGAATAATGAATGGCTTGCATAATTGAATGCACAGCTACAATAGTTCAAACTTTTTAACAGTACAACATTTTAGAGCGTGCTGTGTTTTGTCATCCTAGTTTCTCTTACTTTTCACAGGTAGATGGACGGGTGCACTGACACCAGCGCTGGAAACAGAAACTTTCAGCTGCACTGTGTGAGCTGCACTGGAGTCGAGGCTCTTGACACCGTGCTCATGTTATGCAGAAAGTCCATGTAATCAAAGTGGGAAAGCATCAGTCCACCTACAGTGGTGCACCTGGATGAGTTCCGCCCACCCACCCTCTAACAAGGCAACAGATGAGAGGTTAGTCAAACACTTGACTGATGCATTGCACGCAGATATGGAGGGGAAAGTTAGAGAAACTTCTCCAATCAGCCGTAACATTATGAGCATTGTGCATTAAGCATTATGAGCTACAGCCAGTGAGAGCAGACACGGGCAGCCTCTCTCTCTCCAAGACCAGACAGGAAGCAGCGCACCGGGATTTACTTTAGTACCAGCCAAAAAAAGATACTGACACACATAATGGGCCGTGAATAAACTGTGCTGTGAGTTGGTGTTCAAATCGGCGTGAATCTGATCAACCAACCAGGACTTATTTTAGCGAGAAATCTTAATTATTGAAATTGTCCGCCTCTCTTTTCCCACTGAAAGAGCACAGCTCCACCAGAGGCTGAACACACTGAGGCGACAAAATGTAAAGTTTGTACCAAAAAAAATGGAAATGGAAAATTACAGGAAAATATGAAACAAAACTGAACATTCTGAATGGACAAACCTTGTGTGTTTGCTGTTATTGTAAACTATAGATAGACTGTTATCAGACTTGAGCAGAAACATAATAAATGGATTTTATTAGCTGATGTAAAACTTGTAACAAAAGCACAGAAATGATCCCATATTCCCTAAAAGATGCTGGTTTCATTACTTTGGGCCGCACATATTCTGGCCAACTATTGCATCATTAGCTTGTTGCCAACAGATCTTTTAGTGACTCGCTTATTTAATGAGGAGAATTTTGTTTTGGTGCGAAGATGTGTGGCAGACGAGGGCCTCGTATCCTTCACAACAGGACATCGCTCTTATGTAAATGAGATCTTCTGAAATGTTTTCTCTTTTAATAATTTGCCATGTGATCTTACTGGTTGTTGCTGCTGCTGTCTTGTAAGAACATACAGGCCGGGCGCCACTCGGCACAGGACACTTAAATCAATCAATCAAAATTCAGACACACTGCAGCCATGGCCAGATTTACCTGCTAGGGGCCTCGGAGCAAAAATAAACTGCTGGGCGCCAATTAATCCCTGTTTCTCACCCTCTCTGTGCAAAGTGGACAGTGCTTGCGTTATTCAGGTCATCCGGTCTCTATCTTCTGTGTCTGTTTTGTGTTCTACAATCTGCGAACTCACAATGGACAGTTTTGGGTGTTTTAGCTTGTTACAAGGAGCATTAGATGCATTTGATACAATAAAGAAATGGAGGTAGAAGAAAATAAAATTGCACTCAACTAAAGGCAGAAGCCTAAAAGACAGAGCTGTAGAGCCACAGTCAGGGTGCCTTTCTTCTTCTTCTAAGTAATATTCTTGATGTTTACTGAATAGTGTCTGAGTGTTTTTTCCTTTTAGTTTCAATTCATATTCTCTGACTCATATCGCATTCTCAGTTTGCCATTTAATTTTCCCATGGATCATTTCCTGGACAGCGTGCTACGCTGCCTGTATATACATTTTTTGGACCAGTACGCATTACTGATGAGATCTCATTTAGATTTGTCAAAAGCAAAAATGCAGAAAAACACAACTTATCAGCATCATACCTCACTCTCCAGGTGAACCGCAGCATTACAGGCAGTGTAAGAGCCTGCAGCAGG